TCTGTCCCTATGGGCTAATGTTTTCTGTAGTGGAAACAAATACTGTAGCCTGACATTGCTATGATGCTGTTGATGGAATTTGGTTATTCTTTTGTGGAAAAAAACCCTCTGTTCTTACAGAAACCAGCAAAATAAAAAGATATTCCTTGGTGTTAATGTTACAATTGCTCATGAACTTGAGGTCATGGTACCAAATTCAAGAAGAAAAGTGATGATCAAGCTGGCATTAACTCAGCAGATGTATTTTCACAGTATCATTTTATGCATTTGTTCTTTCCCTTTTCTTCTTCTGAAGCCAAGAGACATTATTTAATGTGAGTACTATGAGGAAGCTGGTGTTGCACATTGAATCGCGGTTGGAATTTCCTGTTCCCTTGGAAGCATGTCCTAAATCACATGCCAAAACCTACTGACTTTTGTGTTACAGTCAAAGTTGGTGATAAAAGTATCAGAATCATCAACACTGAAGTCATGATGATGGACTGGTTTTGTCACTGTTTGAAGAACTGATTATGTCTCTTCTAGAAAGTCTTAGCTGTAGGATCATAATAGAAGACTGCAAGACATGCAAAGATAAAAACAAGAGAAACAGAAGCACAGACGTCAGTGGAAGATACTGGCACTCTGTGGAATCAAGGAGCTTAAATCCCAGGAAAGGCAGGGCATTAAATAAAAGGTTTCCGTAAGATTGGTGCTCTTGGTGATTGTAAGGGATGCATGAATGCAATTTGTCAGTTCTTAAATCTGCCAGATAAACTTGTAGAAAAAACAAAATCCAAATCTTAGCGTTCTTCAAAGAACAGCAATTAAGTTAGGCTGTCAAATGTTTGGAAATGTGAAGTGCTCATTACTGACAGGAGCTGTGGATGTTTTATAAATAACATCCCACAGCTTGGGTCAGTAGATCCAGAAAGTTGGTATCCTATGGGAGATTTTTTTGTAGGATGTGTGGCTCATGCTGCAGTTTGAACAGCATTGTTTTTAGTCGTTGATCCAGCCCTGTTTGTGATGCATTCTGTATATGCAGGTAATTACACTATTTGTAAGTGAAATTTTAACTTCCCTTGGTGGTGTAGAAATATTGACTTATTATTTCTGATAGGATCCAGGGAGGCAACTTCATGTTACATGCAATGGGGCTATTGCGAATTTTTGGGTGCAGCTCAGAAGAGACAGCTGAAAACAGATCTCCTCAGTATATCCAAGCAATAGGTGTGATTTTGTTTTGGGTGAGAGCTTCAAAGCTCTGCAAATATTTTATTCTGGGGTAGAAAAAAGAAAATCAGATATGGCCAAATTCTCTGCTAGGCATGCTCCCTTTTAGTAGAGTCCAAACCTAGGCAGCTTTCCATTAAAATGTGTCTGGTCTCCTTCTCCACTTCTACTGAAACTAACACACTACCAGACTATTTCTAATTTTAACAGATTGGTATTTTCACCAGAAAAACTGTCCCTTTACCAAAATTTCCAACCAACTCTAATTTGTGTATGATCGCATATGGATAAGCACAAGACCTTTCAAAGACACATCAAACCTCAGGAGCCTGGCATAGACTTATGAGAGAACTGAGGGACATCAAAACTTGCCTACAAAGGCGTGGGGACAACCTTCTCTTCATGGCCTAGAAACTCCTTCAGATAACAAAAATATGTAAGGACCAGGAGTGAGGTTTTATTCAGACCAGCAGGAATGTTTTTCAGAAGCACATGGCTATTCAACATGAGACAGTAGAGTCCAATATAGAAGAAAGTGTTTCATTCATTCAGAAATGAGAAGATGTACTTTTAGAGTATGAAAAAAGAAAAAAACACTCTCCTTAGTTTTCCTGTCACAAAATGACCAGTTAAAATAGAAAGCAGCCCATGCCACTGGAGCTCCTCAAAGAACTTTTTGTTTGTTAAACTCATTTATTGTCCCTAACAACAGGCTGACTTAGAGCTTTTGGTGTCCTTTAGACAGCTCTGTAGTCTGTCATCCAGAAACAAGCTAAAACTCCAATGGATGTAGTTGCACATAGATTTACTTGGACATATTCGCTTAAATTCAGTGCATTTTTCTTTTAATTTAAATCCAGCTGAAGCAACTGCATTTCTTCTCCCTACTCTGATAGTAGGCTGGAACATTTTGGCTTTGTTTCTCAGATTCATGGGACGGTTTGGGTTGGAAGGGACCTCACAGATCACTGAACTCCACCCCCTGCCATGGGCAGGGACACCTTCCACTAAAGCAGGCTGCTCAAAGCTTCTGGAGAAAATAGCAGATAGAATAAAGGATTATCTAAGGAATCTAAAAGGCAGGGTTTCCATATACTTTCAACTGGAACATGTAGAAGCCATTTGTAGTTACCTACCTGGAGGGCTTTCACAGAGTGAAGAGAGGCACAGTAGCTCAGTTTTGATGAAGGAACAGGACACATCTGGTTGTGTTAAAATCATCGGCAACCTACAGTCCAGGACTCTCAGTTCTACAGAGCAGGGGTTCCAATAGCTTTTCCATAACAATTTTTGTTGATTTGCTTTCATTATAGAGCTCATATTTTTCTAAAAGTGTTTTTTTCTCTAAACAAAAATGTGCAGAATCAACAAAATTTGGTAAAGCCCGGGGGGCCACAAAGCTACTGTTTTGTATTGGTTGCCAAGGAGTATATCTGTCTGTGAATGTACAAGTTTGTCCCCTCCTCAGCCATCCCTTTTTTGTTGTCCAAGAGATAACATTCCCAGGAACATCTTGTGTATCAGCACTTCAAATACTTATCTGCAGCAGAAGATAAACACAAAGCCCCACGTGCACAGTTTTTGCTAGAAATGGAATTACTTGCTGCAAAACTTAAAAGGAGGAATTATGACTGCTCCTCCTTTAAGAACTCCCATTAAGCTTGCCTTCCATTGAAAATAAGTTTGTTACAGCATGACCTTTGAAAGATTCACCCCGGAGAAAGTGCTTGACATAATTTTACTCTTAGTGTTAAGTTAACCTCCTAGTTCCCAGTGTTTGTAGGCTTCACTGAAGTGTGCTCATGGTCAATAAATCTATTAAACAGAATATGTCGCTGGCTACAGTAGCCATGGAAACATGTTTCCAGTTGCACCAGCTACTCTCCAAAAGGAAGCAATGTTTAGGAGGACCAGGACATAAAGAAGCACTAATTTGCAGCCTTTAACAGGACTGCATCTTTAATCTGATTAACACATGGGACAGATTTAAAGAATGATGGTCGAAAAGGATTGATAAGAAAGCAGTTGTATTTTTGTGTATACCTGAGGCTTAAGGAACTGAGGAGAAGTCAAGAAATACGACAATTTCTTCAACATTAACAAGATGTCTCTTGAGAAAGCAGGACACTTCATCTTCTGTAAGTGTGAACGGTGTTACGTGAGAATCTGAAACCAAAGGGGAGGTTCTCAAATACTCCTCGTTCCTCTGATGTGTACAATATTTTTTTTCTGCTCAAAGAGAAAATGAGGAAGAGTCTGCAAATACATGATCAGGAATAAATTTACATCTTCAGAAAGAAAAAAAAGTTGGAAAAGAAAGCCTGGTGTTCGGAGATGAAATACTTCATTATTTTTAGTAGCACTATGGCAGAAAAGGGAAAAAAATATTTGCAGAAGTAACAGCTCAGATTGTGGCTTGACATCCTCAAGAATCACGGAAAGAATGAAAGAGAACAAAGTACTAGAAAGGAGAACCTCAGTTCCTTTAGGATAGGAAAGAGCAGACCAGCTCTACTAGTTGGTATTTATTTATTTGTCTGCCTTATTAATTTCCTGCCTTTAGGAACTGAACAGCTGCCAGTGTGTGAAACTGTTGTCTGTGGATGCAAATAACTCCCTGCAAGCAAATAATCATGCTGTGCTTTCTCACCCTTATAGCACAGAGAATTGTCCTTTGCAGGAGAGAGTATCAATAGCAGAGGCAAAATGAGGAAGCCAGACTGGAGCTGGTGGGGAAAGGGAAATAGTCATATGACAAGCTTTAAATAGCTTCACCCCAAGTCAGCAATATGAAACATGCACCCATCCACTTGCCTTGCCTATAGGTATCCTAAAAATCCCATCAGAAATATTTAGGGAGAGCCAGGATATGTTTGGCCCTTGTGACAAGTTAACACTGGTAGGCTTTGCCATTGCCTTTGAGGGAGAGCTTGTCCCTCGAACCAACACCTGCAGAGACCCTGAGACAGACCCAGAGGTATTCCAGGAGGAGCCTTGCTGAGGGTTTGCGTGTGGTACCATGCATCCAGCTCTTTACAGGGAATTTGGCACTCACCCAAGCTTTTTTCCTCCTGTGTGTTTAGATTGGTTAGAGCTATGTTTAACATTCCAGAGGCTGTTAGGAACAGTCCACAAGGGGCTTTTCTGATTGCCTGAGAGGCAGAGAGGTGTAGTTTGTTCGATTCTGCAGATCAGCTGGCAGTTAATTGCACTTTTTAAGTGTGGACTCGTCAGTGCTAACCTGTATTGTGGTGTGTGGCCCAGTGACACTGACAGTAACTTAAAGGAAGCGGCGAAGGCAGCATGCACTGACTGCTGGCTCAGACATATCAGAGGGGGAAGAAGATGCTGCTCCACTGTGCTAGAGAAAAGATGCAAAAGGAGTATTGGCTTATTTGGGAGTAGATTTATTTGGGGTGCAGGGAGGACTTGACCTTTGTTTCCATTACTTGTCTGCAGCCCTTTTGTCATACCTCAGATAACACTTCCCAAACTCCACCCGTAGCTTCTTTCCAACAGCTTGTGGTGAGCGCTGAGCATAAACTGCTGCAAATGCACAGAGAGATATGCCCAGGCTTGGCTACAGCCTGGCTGTGGGACTGATGTGTAAAGCAGGGGTCCTGAATGAATGCAAAGTGATGATACCTATTTGAGTAGGAAGAATTGACTTGATTAAACACAAAGTATTTGTGATAAAAAAGTTATGTGAATGAAAGAGAGAAAAAACTAGATCTAGACTTATATTTCAACTTGGTGAGTCACTAAACACTATTTTCCTTTTTCAGGTTTCTCCTGGTACTGATTTGTTTAATATTCAGTGTATTGTCTACTATAGAGCACTATTCTGAGTTTGCCATTGGAACCCTTTTCTGGATGGTAAGTGAACTTTTTTGGGGAAGGGCTGATCAGTTTGACTAAACCTGAATTGCTTTCAGTGAGCAAGGGAGATAACTGGTTTCCTACTCTACAGAACAGGAAGGAAGAACTTCTATCACACTACTGTCACCACTGATTTGGATTTGAAGTTGGTGCTTGCTTGATGGGAATCAAAAGTACAAATAACTTTCATGAGGACACTAGACAATGCCCCTTCTCTGTTCCCCCCTGCCTCTAATCACCTTTAGGGAGTGAAAAATGGAGATTAAACATCCTTGATAAAAATGGAGTAAATAACTTTCAAACGGTTCCTTGCAAGGTCTGTATTTTAGCCACTAAAGTCCTCTGATCTCAGTGTGTGATGGTCTCAGTATTCTTATTGTAGTTTCTTTTTGCTAAATGGTGAATTTTAATGTGATAGAAATTGGTTTTCCATCTGGTTTGAAAATAAAAATTAGTTCTTTGTTTTCCTATGGCATAGGCTACATTAGCATGTGCAGCTTTTGCATGCAGTTGACTGAGCCATCATTGGATCCCAGAGTTATTCTGAGCACTTGATTAAAGTTAATCCTGTAGCAAATGTTGCTTGACCTTTAAGCCACAATTCAGTGTGAAGCAAAGTGCAGTGTTCTGCCAATCATGTGTGGTCCTCTCCTGCTCCCTGAGATGTGGTGATTGCAGGTCACACAGGCACTGCTGGGAGCAGTGATTCTGGCTCAGCTGATGGTTTCTGTGCAGATGGAATCTGTGTGTGCACACGTTTTTGAACAAAAACGTCGGATGGAGGCAGATGTGTGGCTCTCAGAGGGCCCACATAGCATTGTTTTAGGTGATGTTATCATCTAACAAATGAATAATGCACAGTCAATGGAACCATTTCTTGGCATCCTTGTGTCACAGCTTTACCCTGGAGGATACCTCTCTGGAGTTTTTCTTCCTGCTGTTTCCTTAGTTTCCTTCCTAGAAATGGCCAGGACAGAGTGTAGCTGTTCTGCTGGCTACTGTAGAATCACTTGCCTAGAACATATTAGTCTTAAAACTTGGTTTGGTCTGAAATAAATCCACTTTAATTACATAAGATTGTTTTTAGAGCTAATTAAATCAGTTCTTTTTCATAGAGTTGGAAGACTTCTTGTTGCCAGGAGTTAAATGGTTGGACTCCTGCTTGGAGCACATCTTCCCACCTTTACCTGAAGGAATTTCTAACTGGCTCTCCCATTTGAGCCAGGAAAGTGTTCACCCCAGAGAAGTGTGGAGATTGCTGTTCTCTTTACTCCTGGGAGAATTCTTAACTCTGATCTACTTCCTACCATAGCTGACTGTTCATAAAACCAGAGTTTTATCTCTCCAAGTTCATTCTGCCTGCTCTCTTGAAACTGGGGACAGAGGACACTGCCAGTGTGATGAGAATCAAAACTGGGCCAAAGCATCTACTGGATCGAGTTCAAAGTGAAATTGGTTTGTTTCTCTCCTGAGTGAAGGACCCTGTAATTCTTTGTATAGCCCTCAGCAGCAAATAAATACTGGCATGTGATGCTTGTGGTATTTCTCCACCTATGAGAAAACTGCTTTTCATTATATTCAGGTTGATTAACACTTGGGAAGGATCCATGTCAAAAATGTCCTGTTGCAAGTTGCTAAGGCCTGACAAGAGGGGTAGTACTTGGTACTTGAAGACATGGAAATGTTTTTATATTTTCATATTTTTGCCTCTACAGCAAGAGGCTGTAATGTTTCCTTAATGATCTAGTAGTTTGTGTATCAGTTTTGATTTGTAAATGGCATCTAGATCTTTCAGGATATGGAATGAAAAAAAAAGAGCTATAAAATGGGCCAGATGTACCTCCTTTGAGGATTAATCTGTTTTCATGGTTAGAGGTCATATATTTTTCTACCAGAAGAGGTCACCATGGTAATTTCTAAAAGACTGATTTTTCTTGTTATTTAATTGCAAAAGATCTTGCAAGAAGAGAGCTTCTTAGGTTGTGGGACAACTTCACTAACTGTGTCAGTCTAAAAACAAGAACAAACTACTATTTTCATCATACACATGATGTTTTTATGTTAATTACTTTTTAAATTTAAGAATACCAAGTGTATTCCTAACTTGGAGAAAATAGACTGGTTTTGCTATAAATCATATTGATTCAACTGATGAGTTCAGGCCCTGTAGTACCTCCCTTTTGGAGACAGACTTTATGCATCTGCTTTCCTCTGAAAAAGGAAATATAAGACCCAATACACAGAAGAATTTCCCTTCTTTCCTGGAAAAAGCACTAGAATCTCTCCCAAACACATGAACACCATAGTTCACAGCACTGCAGCACCGGAGGGTACATAATTCCCTCCAAGACTCTCTTTTCAGAGTTCTCACTTCCTGCCTCAATTGTCAGTCCTTACTGCCCTCTTGGCTGCTGGAAATTCTCATGTAGTGACTACATTTAGCATGGATTAGCACTCCCGTGCTTGCAAATTCTGTTGGAGAAAAGGCTGAGATGTGAAATCAGAAGTTCTCACACCAGCTGGTGCTCAAGTTTTTCAGGCCAGAGATTCACCTTGTGGCTGTATTTAGGAGGAGGATCTTGTGGAAGAGTTTTTGGCTGCAGATGGGTCCTTGTTACGTGGCTGTCCCAAAGTCACTGCTCAGTTTTGGGTTTATATGATTTTTTCTGCAGCACGTGCCATGAAAACACACATCCTCCTGCTCTAAATATAGGCAAGGCTGTCCAAAGTACTCAGACTTTGGAGTGCCAAATGATAGTGGCTTACTTAAGCCAGCTAAGGCATGTCACTATTTAACTTCTCTGGTTCTGAACTGGACATCAGGGTGGCTTTTCTCTTTGGAATAACACCATTTTCCAAGTGAGGGTTTTGAAAGGAGGCCAGTGAGGACTTCCTGTCTGCAGTGGAGGAGCTCTCCTATTGCTTTTTCTTTGCCTCTGGTTTTGCCCTGTCTCCTGTCTAAGCTGTGTAGCTGTTGGGTCAGCTCCAACCTGTAGCAGAGGAGAAACCTGCAGAAAGCTTAACTGAGTGGTCTCTGGGATTTATGGTGAGTGTATTCTAATAGGTTAGATGTTGTGTTCTCCATCCCATCAAAGCAGTCAATGTTAGAAAGTAAAAAAGGTGGAATTTTTATCTATTTCCTGCCTCTGTGCCAGTTTATAATTCTAAATCTGGTCTTTGCTATATATATAGCATGAACACTTAGGGCCTTCCCCAGGCCTGTTTGATAAAGTGATCATTGGATAGTGCAATACATGAAGTTCACAGGAGCTCTTCCTGCTGACCTCACCACACTGTTTCTTACAGCTGATAATGGACTTCTTACAGGGTATCTCATAGTAATTAATGGCATTTTGTGATATTTGTGCAGTGTATATTGCCTGGGTGACAGCAGGTATTCATGAGGTGTTCAGTCCCATAAAGGCACTGACAACCAAACTGCCTCAGGAGAAAATACATTAATTCCTGTATACTGTGGGAGAGCTAGACCCTGCAAGTGCAGAATGCACATAAATGAAAAGAAACTTATGGCTCATAAGCATTTGCTGTATTCTTTTACTCCTGTAAACTTCTGAGAGAGAAAGCAAGGAGGAGAATCCCTGTTTCTTTCTGAGCTTCTTGTTGGTCTGTGGGAAGATGAAAAAATATATTGGGAATATGATATTATTACAATACAAAGCATTATTAAAATAGAGATGGAATATTGTTTCATACATAAAATATATTAGGAAAAAAATTGAGTCTACAAATCTATAAGCTCAGGTTGTCTGCTGAGCGATCTTGCTGAGTTGCCATTGTTTTTCTGGAATCAAATGCAACTCTCAAGCTTCTCAATGTGAATTGTAATTCAGTTATTCCTATGGGTTATATTACCTTGTGCCTAATGCACCACAGAATACACTCAATGACTGCTGTGTGCTTTTGAAATGTCTGAAATAGAAATCCTTCTGCAGTAAGTAAGGCTGAGGCTAATTAACAGAGAGGCAACCCGTAATTCCCTTAGTCACATTTAACTCACTGTGGCTCAGTGAAGTTCTCTGTGCAAAGGGGTTTTAGAATGTGGCCAAGAGACTTGAGAAATGTTTCTTGGGTGTGAGAGGAAGCTGGAGAGACACATGCAGGATTTTTTCCATTCCTCTCCTAAAAATATTGATACCCTACCAAATCAAAAGGTTAAAAACCATGGAAGTAATTATTTGAAATTCTGAAGTGCATATTCACATTGGTTTGATTCCAGTCCAAGAGCAAAGATAAACCCTTCACCACCTACCAGAGGTGGTCTCTTCAGGGATGTGCTGGGGGAGCTGTAAGGCTTCTGTGGATCTATAGAGAAATTATAATTTATTGAATTCTAATTAACTTACTGAATCTTATTAATTCTCTATTTGATTATATTTACCTTAGTGGTGTCTTTCAGAATGAAGCAATTGAAAAAAAAGTTCTCGTCAAAATTAGTTGATTTTCCTTGGAGAAAAATTGTTACATGCTTAAATAGAATTAAAAAATAACTCTTCCCCTGTGGCTCACCCAGCTCACTTGAATGTGGCTGTCACAGGGAGAGCACCGTGTGCTTCCTTCATGACTATACAGCTTCATTCCATGCAGGAAACAGCAAATAGCAATAAAATGAAAGACAAACATACTCCTGGTAGGAAGTCAGCAAATTCAGCATATTTGTCAGGTGTGCATGGAAGTGTATCTTTTATGAAATGTTAAATCCACTTGTATACAAACAACAGCCTTTGAGCGCATTGGTTTCACCTAAAAGAACTACGAGCAAGCTAATGCTACTATAGGACACTTAGCAGCATTTGGCATTTTTTCTTCTGTATTTTTTTTTGTGTTTTAGAATACTGGGCATTCTATTTTCACATAGGATGTCTCTCATCTTTGCAAGAGCCAGCATGATGGTAGAAAAGAAACATTCTCAGTATCAGTAGGTTTTCATGGCATTTGAGTAGTTATTAAACTGAACAGGTCACTAAATGGACATTTTCAACTGTAAGGACTGGAAAACCTTAAAGACAGATTATCAGATTAAATTTGGGACATAAGTACACATGTGCAAACATTTGGACTATTAAACCTTTATGCCTCTTTCTGAGGCTTCATTGTCTGGAGCTGCCACTCCTTGATTGAATCTCCGTAAGCACACACTATTCATTTAGCCATCCCACTTCCTTCTTTTACCCCAGCACCTAAATATTCCAATAAAAAAAGTGAAGAGAGCCTTGTGTGTGCTCTCCACCTAAAACACAGCTGCAGCTGAGAAAATACCCTTCTTTTTCATGTGTGTGCTTTAATCACTCCAGCGAACTTCCCTCTCCTGCTTCCCCAGTGCAGTTATCCATAACCAAACTGGGATAAATTATAAATTCCAGGCTATATATTTAATTTACACACACACATGCCTGTGTAAAAGTGTTGGGTTTCTGTGTTAATGCAGGCATTTTACTATTTGGTCATCAATGACATCCTTGGATAAAGAGTTGATGGCTTTTCCACAAGGGTTTTTTTATTTGATTGATTTAATTAGATATGAGTGGAAGTTATTTGTATACATATTTCCCTTTAAGCTTATTTTTGCATAGTTTTTATTAAATTAGTAAAATGAAATTTTACTAAAATAGCATAAACATTACTATGTATTATTTTATTCTCAATTTGGTGGGGGAAGGGAAGATTTATGTCATGGCTAGACTTCAGACAAGTAAAATAAATTCAAAGATGAAATTAATTTAAGGGCAAGGACTATTATAGTCCTTACAGGGAAGAAGAGGGAGAAGCACAGAGTACTGGAATGCTGCTTTAATGAAGTAATGGAGTAATGGAATGGACTTTAGCTGAAGTGTTATATAGCACAGACCCAGTTTAAAATCTGTAATTAAATTCATCTGTTGGTATTTCTGTGGCAATTTGAGTTGCCACAATCAAAACAGGAAGAGACTGTGACACGTGAGTGTGAAGAGTCAGGTCTGATATGGATCTTATTTTTATGAAGTAGTGGTTTGTTCCCACTCATTATTTTTGGTTTCAGCTTCATTAGAAGAGTTCATCCCTGGCTTTCTGTTGATGCCAAACTGCTTTCCAGGCTTATTAAATCTGCTCAGAATCCTTCATCATGCATTTCTTCCTTGACCACTTCCAGGAGAAGGGGAAAAACACTTCTGGGAGCCAAAATCAAAAGGGTTTGTGGGCTACTTGTGAGTGTAATCCCATTTTGAAAGCAAGGGTTCTGGAAAATTGCAGAAGGCTGGAGAATCATCTTAAACTGTCACACAGATGGATCTAAATTTAATTTGCGGATTATTTTTGCTGATTTTGTTCTGGTTCATATTTTGTCCACAAGTTCTCACCATCATTTGTTACCATTTTAGTGAGAATTAGTACTTTTTTCTGACTTTAAAGAGAATTGCTGGGTTGTTATTTTTCCCTTTTACCAGAAGGTGAATGTGAGGCAATACATTTAAGACTCTGAAAAGTGTTTATGTGTAGAAGAGGAAGAGGAGGGAGGTTAGGGCATTTTTTTTGAAGGTAAATTTAGTGAGGTGAAGCTGGATTAGCCTTGGCAGCTCTGGAAATGGATGTCTCCTATCTTGCATTAGGAGTGCTCACAACAAGAATGGAAATACCATCAACTTCCTTGTTTTTTTGAGGGACCACCTTCAGAGCTGTGATGTTTGTCCAGTTTCCATGCTTTTTTGGTCTTTGGCTTGTCTGAGGCTGCCAACAAATTTGTTAATGGCTATGTTTTTGGTAATGTGGACAAAATGAACTATGATTAGTAATTAATGTCAAATTTATTTAAGATGTAAGTTCCTCCTTTTCCTCCTTTCTGTCAACAATTTATTTTTCCTTTCCATGGACTGTGCAACCTTGCTAACTTCATCAGGGTTTTCTGGACATGACCAAGATGGCTTCTGATAATAAAATACCCTCAGGCCAGATGTAGTTTTAAATTAGCTTTTAAAAGTGCCCTCAGAGGATAGTCAAGGAAAATCTAAGAAGTTTTTGCTTCCTTGGCACTTCTATGCTTGTCTCCTTTCTACACAGCTTTTCACCAAAAGCAGTTATAATATGCAGGTCCATTAAAATGATTCTTCCACCGCCATAAACACTGCTCTCCTTCCTTTAGTGGAACTTACAGATTCCTAAGAAGAAAAAGAAAATGCTAGAGTGATGGTACCAGGAACCTTCTAAGAATTTAGACAATTTAATAAGTGAGAGAGTATTTTGCAAGAATTCTTTTCCTTTGCAGAGTGTTATGATTTGATTTGACTATTATACTTGCATAAATATTTCTATTCAGACTATAGACAGAATGCAAACTTACAATTACTTGTAGATGCTTTTGATAATACATATACTAAAAAATTAAAGTTGGGGAGTTAATTTGCTGCATATTTTCTTGTACTTCTGCCTTGAAAATGGCTGTAAGCTTTCTTATGTTTTGTACTAATATACCCTTGGTATATTCAGGCTGAAAGTGCCATGCAAAAAAGAGGAAAACTTTGCTTATTTTCTTGGTTCTCATTCCAGGCAAAACAAGAAGGCAGAAGTGAACACAGAAATGTTAAACTAACTTTGTTAAAAATCAAAATTGTCATTAATTTCTGAATATTTGTGTAGAGTTTTTTCTTACAATTTCTTTTCAGTTTTGAAATATTTGGTCTCTCTTGAGCCATTCAGAATGTCAGTTTTAAAATCAAGTTGGTATTGTCATTTAGTGAAAATTGTGATTTAAGTGTGTTTTGCTTTTTGGGTACTTTAGAATCACCCAGGTGTAAATTGAGAACACGTTCAAGTTAAAATGCAAACATTTTCCAAAGCTGTAACTCATGCAGTAAGTGTTTGGTGACTCTGAATTACTGGGTACAGTTTGGGTTGGAAAAAAGCCTAGAAGGTGTGTTTGGGTTGTGCTACCAGTCTGCAACATAGGAAAACAAGGAAGGGGGGATCAAAGATCTCGGTGAATCTGCCCAGGTTGTGATCTTCACTACTCTTCTTTCTTTAGAAGCATTTCAAAGTACACCTATCCTTGGTAATGCATGAGTGCTTCACAATGCAGTGCTGAGGAGGGGAGCAGTATTAAAATATTGATAATTCATTTATTTACATGCTGTTTATACAGCTCACCTCTGTCACCAAGCCTTATGGGTGATTTTATCTACCCAGACATCAACTGGGAATGTCATACTCAAACAGGTCCAGGAGATTTCTGAGCATGTTGAAGATAACTTCCTGGCACAGGTGGTGGACTAGGAAAGGTATCCTCCTAGATTTGTTGTTTATGAGGGACTTGTAGGCAAAGTGATGGCTGGTGGTTGTGACTTGGTCACGGTGACTCTGAAGGAGCCAAGTTTCAAAAGCTGATGATAGAAGAGAAACTGTCAGCAAAATCTGGATCCTGGATGTGTGGAAAGCAGTAGAGGCTGCTTGGTAAAGTCTCTTGGGAATCTGCTTTTGGAGGTACTGGGGACTCTAAAGGCTAGTCACCTTCTCAGGGCCATCTCCTAAGAGCACAGGGGCAGGCAGTTCCAAAGGGTTGGAAGTCAAGCAAAGCTGGCCAGAAGAGCAGCTTGACTGAGCAGGGGTCATCTAGAACTTAGGGAGGAAAGGGGAGCATGTGGGGGGGCTGGGTGACACAGGTGGAAATTCTGTCCCCAAGGTAGGGAGAAAATTAGTGCAGGCAAAGCTCAATTGGAGTTCAAGCAGGCCAGCGCTGGGAAGGACAACAAAATGGACTTTCACAAATACGTTCATTGCAAAAGAAATAGCATTGGGCCATGGCTTCATGGGCTCGGTCACCTCAAAAATAGCCATGTAGACAAAGCAGAGACATTTAATGTCCTTTTCACTTCTGCCTTCAACAACGATGGGCCCTGGGAAGTCTGGAGTTCTGTTGGAAAACTGTGACTGTGGGGGGATGATAGACTCTCAGTCCATCCTGAGTTTGTTTGAGGCTCTCTGCTACAGCCGGATGTGCATAAATCATGGGGTTTGGTGGGATTCATCCCAGGATACTGTCATTGTGGGACCTCACTCCATTTATTTTTCAGTGGTATTGGGAGTCTGGAGAGCTCCCACTTGTGGGAATTTTTAAAATCAGAAATTAAAAGAAAAAAAAAACTACAAAAACCAGAGAGAGCTGAATAGGCCAGAGAGGCAGGCAATCACCAACTGTATGAAAATGAACAAGAGCAAGAGCTTTACTCTCCCCCTGAGATGAGCCTATCCTGGTTTTAAATACAAGATGTGGGACAGGAGGCTGGAGAGCAGCCCTGCGCAGAGGGATCTGGTGGTTTCGATGCAAGTTCAGTGTCAGTCACCAGCGTGTCCTGGCAGCCAGAGGGGTCACCTGTGTCCTGGGGTGCACAGGGATGGGGGAAGGGGACTGCCCCACCCTGCTCTGCACTGGTTCAGCCCCACCTCGAGTCCTGGGGGCAGTTTTGGTGTCTCAATAGAAGAAGGACATCAGAACACGTGAGTGTGTCCAGAGGACAGCCTGGGCAACCCAGGTGGGGAAAGGCCTGGAGGGCAAGGAAATGTCAAAACAAAAGAAGGATAATGTTGTGTTTTTCTCTATGATATGCTGATGGAACAGAGCTTAAACCATATGTTTATTCATGCAAATCACATTCAGGAACTGATTATCTCTCCCTTTTATTTACCGTCTGGCATATGTATACAAAGAGTCAACAGATGAGGCAAAATCCTTTTTATTGCATCATATATCTCAACAAGCTCATTAGTTCTATGAATAAATTAGATGTGCTTATAATGAAAAAACTCCTTCCCCTTTTCACTCTGTCAGGAAATAGTTCTGGTGGTGTTTTTTGGTGCTGAGTACCTGGTCCGGCTGTGGTCTGCAGGCTGTAGGAGTAAATATATTGGTTTCCAGGGGAGGATGCGGTTTGCCAGGAAGCCAATATCCATCATTGGTAAGTTTTAAACTCTTTTGCAACCCTCCTGCTTGTTATAAATAAAAATGGCCCCCACTTCTGCAGGGGCCTTATTGCAGTTCTGAACTACATCTACCCCTCAAGCATATCTGCATTGTGATTTCTCTTCTCTTGGGTTGCTAGAACACTTAAAAGATGCCTAAGGCAGACATCAACCTTGGAAAGTCTGGACTGTAAAGTGAAGAAATGACTAAAGCTTGGGTATTTGCAGGAAATTGTCAAGATTTTGAACACAAAGTCCTTCCTTGGGTACAAACAAATACTTCTTCTTCTAGAGCTGGTCTATTTTTGTGATGTAACCATGAGGCCTCTAAGGAATCGTTTTTACTCCTCTTTGTGTTCTTGATTTATCTCTCAATTAATAGGAGCTTCTTAGGTGAGTATATTAGAGAAAGTGATGGTCTCATTGAACTGTGGTTTCAAGGGGCTCTCTCTGCTGGTATTTTGCTACTATCATAGCAAATATTCGTGTTTGTATTGGAGCCCTCAGGGAAGACACCGTGGGTTTTGTTAAAAAAAGCTAAGAATGGCTATAGCTGGTTGTGCGCTCACAGGTGTCAGTACTTCATTTAACCTTTGAAATTCCCCTAAAGATATAATACATTGGAAATCAAGATTTGCTTTTCCACATCAAATGCAGATGGAACAGTGTCTGCACTGACAGAACAAGGTAAACTTGGCAAATACCTTTGCTGGTAATGATAGAATCCTACTGACTCATCCTAAAATTTTCAAATCAATATGAATAAAATACAGACACTGGAAAAAATTTAAAGGATTAGAACAGAAAGTAAAACATAATACATTAATTTTATTTATACATTAATATAAAAATATTTATTTTAAAATCAGAAAAAAATAGCCTAAAATTTCTTTGACAGCAAGGAGATTTCTTCTATGGATTTTGTTCCCTCTAAAATTTGGATTAGTTCTTAGCAAGTTCAACATGGAAAATCCCAGGCTAAGGCAGAAAGAATGTTCTGGGGCACACAGGCTCAGTAAAAAGATGGAAGGTGGATTCTGATGCAAAGGCCTGGGAGAGGAATGTTTAAAGAGACTGACAAGCAACCAGGAACTTGAAGGGAAATCAGCAGGGGCTGGAAATATGTGGGATTGAAAGGTATCAGAGAAAGGGCAGGATATGTGAAGACCTAGACTGTAAAATAAGGCTGTTTGGACCAGTAAATTTGGATTAATAAGGGAAGTCTAAGCACTGGAAACTGGGATGAAAACTAGGAAGAGAGGAGAAGCAGAAATAGAAGAACAGGTTTGGAGAAAAAGGAAGAAAAATAAATATCTCCACCATGAAGAATACTTACAGAAAAGAAGAAAGTGCAAATGAAAAAATCTCTTTAACTCTCACTACTTGGTTGAACTAATTTTCTAAGCATCAGTCTTTTCCATCTTTAGTGCTTGTCTTCAGATGGATATGTGTATGTCTGACAATTTAGTAAACACACGATGCATCATTTGCTAAAGGGCAAAGATTTGTGTTACGATGTGATGAGAAGAAAACCCACCCTAAATTCCAATGTTTGCAAATATCCGTTTGCACACATACATGATAAAGGAACAGTATAAAAAAATTTGCAGTCAGGCATTGAAAAGCTAAGATTAATCCCAAATGGAAGCTCTTTCTCTAGCCTCATCCCTCCATTTATTCATTTTATTTTTATTTTTATTTTTAATTTCAATTTTCATTTTCATTTTCATACATGAACAATTAGTGTAGTGCACTATTTAAACTAAACTGACTGTGTGCTTTCCCTTGAGGAGGAATCCAGCTTTTACAGCAAAAATCAGATTGATACTGGAAATTAATTCAACTCAGAGAGTGAAGGATGCTGTTGGTTATAGAACTTCTGCAGTATTTGCTGCAGCAACTACATAGTTGTAAATGAGGCAGGAGAACGTGGAGAGGAAAAAACAAGTTAACCTTGCTGAAGGAAACTGTTGTTGCTGCTCAGGTTGGATCCCATCCTGCCTCTTGCCCAGGCATCCCATGGAAAGTTGGTTAAGTCAGTTTTCATAAGTGGGCCTCATTTTCTGGATGTCCAAAGGAAGACTTTGAAGTTGGGTTGCAGAGGTTCCAAGCCCTCACAGCTGCAAATGAAGTCAGCAGGGCTGGTGTTTTGAAGTGCTGTATAATGTTAAGTGCTCTGAAGAATAAAGTACTGCCTGTTTCAAACTGGCAAAGGAAAGTTTACCAAAGTTTTTTCCTCATTCTGCCTACCCATTTATAATGCTATCCTTTATTTTTTTATTTAGAATTTGAAAGGGAAGCATCTAGATGCTCTAAAGAGGTTTACCACAGAAATGCCTGTAAGGAAATGTAAAAAAATATCTTCTCAGAATAATGTTACAGTAAGGTTCAATAATTAAAAGAAATGGACATGCTCACTGAACTAGGATGAGGGAAAATAAGGAATGCTGGTACTGTACACTTAATCTGTCATTTGCATTGTATAAAGCTGAAACTGTGTAAGCAGAGTTGTGGAAACAAAAAAAAAAAAAAAAAAGAAACTCAGGAATATAGACAGTATCACAAAGTAAACTAACAATTCTGATTTTTTTTTTTTTAGCCAGCCTGTGTTCTGACAGTTCCATTAGGTTTGAAAGCTTGGCTTCAGAGCTGTGATACAGCTTTCAAACTAAGTGTATGTGTGTATGTATGCATGATACTTAACTTCATGGATTTCATTATTGCGTGATGCAAACTCTTGCATTTCCTCTTGGATCAGAAGCCTTGACCTAAAATATGGGTTCATTTCTAGGGTGCACAAATGCCTTTCCATTTTTTTTTTGGCAAGCAGCCTAATCTGTCAGGTTCTTTGAAAGGTCTGTTACTGAATTCATCCTGGAAGAAACTGTAGCCACTGGGGTTTTGATGTGAAACTATTGCATAGACTTAACATGCCCACCAAATTTCAGCTAATTCTTTTTTGAAGTGATTTCCTTAGTCTGTATTTGTTGTGTTTTTTCAGTGCTAAGATTAAAAAAATAAAAACAAAACAAAACAACAACAAAAAAAAAAAAAAGAAAAAAGAAAAAACCCCAACAGAAAACCAAATTAATACATTCTTTCTTCTTTTGATAATTTGTTTGTTTGTTTTTCAACAGATCTGATTGTGGTAGTAGCCTCAATTATTGTTCTGAGTATAGGATCTAATGGGCAGTTGTTTGCCACTTCTGCAATAAGGTAGGTTCTCCTGTCAGTGCAGCTCTTCACTTCCACAGAGGTTATTAGGCATGTTCTGAGTGTGTAATTCCCAATAAACTGCATGTCTGATTTTTCTAATACAGGTAAATTTACTCTATAGAAGCACTGGGCAATGGAGGTCTGGGTGCTGTTGTGCTTGGTGACTGCTTGGGAAAAGAGTGCAGGAACAAGGCAAATGAAAAATGGTGGGAATGATGAAGCCAAGTGGAAAAAATGAAACATTGTGTACTATTTAAAACATCAAACAACTGTCTCTCTGAGACAAGAGGGAATTACAGAGCCTGGGTTTATTTAAGAAGTAATCCAGACAGCGCTTAACTCGGTGGTTTTTGAGTATGAGTAATTACTTTGTTTAAAGAGTAATTATGCTTTGGTGGATTTGTTTTGCATGAGTAACTCACACCATACATGAAGCAGAAACATTTGATGTCCACAGTGTTTGTTCAGCTTACATCAAGTACTGCAGGCTTGTTTTGGGAGGTGAAGTGAGTAAACAGAAGAATGATAAGCAGTAGGTGTACTACTTCCTCTTCCTAACCTGACTTCCAAGATGTGTTGCATATTTTGCAACAAGCCTCTGCTTTCCAGTGCAGTGGAGTCACTGGGAAGTGGGAATGTCCAGTACTGTCTAAACTGTCCAGCTGTGTGGGCAAACACTGGGGAGAACTACATGTACAGAGTGTTTTAAAGGTAATTCTTACCATAGAACATCCATCTTTATCTGATGGCAAAGACTCCACCCAGGCAGCAGGAATATCATCTCCTATAGGAGAAAAGGAAGATGTATGTGTAAATACCAAGGGTTGGGGTTTTAAAATATAACTAGAAGCATAGGGAGGACTTCAGTGAAAAGGCCCTGTGTGTTTATATGTGAGTCCAGTGGGCTGTGGGCTCAGTGAGGCCTTTCCCAGTGCTAAGTCGACAGTCACTGTCCTACACCTCAGAATGCTCTCTGAACCTTAACCCACACCCCTGCAATGTTATCATTGCTCCACAGAAAAGCCAACAGGATCAGGCAAGTCTAAATTAAAAATCGAAACCTATATCCACAAAAAATTCTCGAAGATTGCTAAAAAGAGCCAAAAATACTCCTAGTGAAAAATTTTCAGGTAGATGAATTCAGTGTTCATCCTTTCCTGCTTTTCACTGGTTTGTTTCAGGGATAAGACAGTAAGATGACTGTAGGCAAACAAAATTCATTGTCAAAAGAGCAACTAAATGAAATATTTCCATGAATAAAATTATGCTGAAGAACCATATTGATAATTACTTTTATTTAGTTGAAAATATTTGGAGTTTACGATTGATTTAGTTATTCTCCTAAAACACATAGGACTCTATATATTTCCAGTGATATCAGATATATGTCAGTAACTCACAAAACAAGGATTTCAGTAATGCTATGTTTGATTCATATTCTCCTTTTGGCAAATAGAGAAAAAGGTTTGCTTACCTTTTTGCTAATTTATGTTAGCAAAGCTTGAAGCATTTGTTTCATGGTCAGTATTTCTGAATAAATTTGACTATAATGAAATGTGATCTAAACACAGAGATGCTTCAAGCCTGAGATGCCACCCCAGGCAGGGGCAGTGCTATCGCAGTTCTTGAACATGGCAGTGTGTTAGTGGACATAATCAGTTGTGGGTGGATAAGGCAGTATTGTCCTCAAGCATTTTTATGTGATTATTGCATTTATTTAAATGCTTCACTTTCCTTACAGGGGGATTCGCTTTCTCCAGATCCTTCGGATGCTTCATGTTGACCGCCAGGGAGGCACCTGGAGACTCCTGGGGTCAGTGGTTTTCATCCATCGACAGGTACCCAGCCTTTAAACATCCCCTGCATGTCATTGGCTTCAGTGAATTCTCTCTGTGGGCTTCAAATCATAGTCTGGTGTCTTGGTTTGAAAAGACAGGTGTCTGCTAAGGAAGGCAGGAGCTTCCCTTGAAACGGTAAATGTAGAACCCCTCCCTCCAAATTATTGTAATTTTGAAATTAAAAGGGTCTCAGGCAAAGATATGGGGATAGGAATAACAGTTCTTTACTAGGAAAACTAAAAATACAAATTCAAGAGTACAAATATCAACAAAAACCACTGACAGAGTCAGGATACAACCTGACACTCTGTGGGTCAGGGTGTTGGCAGCAGTGCAATTGAAACCAGTGTTTGGGTTTATTAATTAAATGTTGTACTCTTCGATGTTATCCATCAATGTAATTTCTTAAATGCAGTTTTGTGGGCTGCCTTTCATATTGCAAGTATTCTCCACTATCTCTGCAGAAGATGTGTTTCTAGCTTGGTTTTCTAGGGAAAACCGAACACTAGTGGGAAAGCCTTGCTAGAAGAAGTTAATCATTTAAATATTTCTGTTGTGTTCACCTTGAATACGAAGTTTTCTAATTCATTCTGTAAATAAAGAAAATTAACTGTTATGGTGCTGTATAAGAAAATTTACTTTTTCAAGGGTGTGGTCACAGAGGCAGGTGTGGCTATAAATATGTGTATGTCTGCTAAAGCTTTGAAACAATTTTTCTGTATCAAAGCTCATTAAGTGGCAAGAGTTTAAAAGTTTTGCTGCAGATTTAAAAATATTTCTAATTGAAGGCTTCTTTTTGAGTCTTCATGGAATCTCTTTATGATTAGCTTTATCAATATAATGGAAAATTATATCATTAGCCTTGAAGTCTTGCTTTTCATGGCACACTGTGGAGGGCTAATACTCTGCTATTAATCCCCACATCCCACTTGTTAGGGTGGTTAACTTGTTCTTATGAGTGTAAATTTGTTCTCCACATACTGACACAGTCACAAATTTCCACACAGACATTTTTTAATTTTCTATTTGGAAAACTGTTTTTTCTAGGACAGAGAATGTGCTGCTCTTAATCCAAGCCAATAATTTAATACTAAAAGTGAATTTTCTTACTTTTATTTTTTTCTCCCAGTACAGTATGAACCTTTATGTCATGATGGCTGTGCAGAAGTGATGCACACCAAAGTCCTGTGGGATAAACCCTCCTTTCATACTGTACAACAGGATGACTTTCAATGCTACAAGTCTGTGTGGTTGTCATTGATTATGCTTGCATTGCCTGGGTACCTTGCTAGGACAGAGCTGGTGTCCAAATAACTTTCTCAGCATTTGCTACCCTTACTGACAAAGCTGTTTGAGAACATTTTTTTCCTGTGGGTGTTCAGAGTTTTAGTCAAGAATCAAGAAATACTCTCTCCAAAATACAACACTTAAATCTTATGTGTCACAAGCATAAGCAAGTTCAATGGTTTAAAAGGGAAAAAAAAAAAATCTGGGAAAATAATTTTATGAGTAAAGGCTCCTGAAGTTCTGCTTATCCAAAGAAGTGATTATGGTGAAAAATAAAACTCCACAGATCTGTAGTACTTATCCAAGCAGATCACTCACTAACACATTAAGAAAAAAAATACGAAGCGCATAGCTCTGTATTGACATTGGACAAGTGTAGCTGAAACCCTAACACGGTACCAAACAGAAGGAAAAATGGAACCTTTATTCTTGTCCAGCCTCTGAAAGAAATTTTTGTTTAAAAATAAAAACAAAACAAAACAAAAATACCTCAGCTGCTTTTTCTTCACAGGCAGAGTACAAAGTCCTCATCCTTTTTTTTTTTTTTTTTTTTTTTTTGTGTTTGATACTCTTTCAGAAAACATAGGCCCCTAAGCCCTTGAGCAATTGTGAAAAAATGTATTCACATCTTGGTGCCCTGCAAAAATAGCAAGCACTTGTACCATCCTGGGCCCTGAAGAACTTAGTAAAGTTGTCACCAACGATTTCGATGTGTTTTGGAATTTAGCATATAGCTCAATTAGCTCACTCAGGCCTGGTTTGGCTGGGATGATCTTCTATTTTCAGCAGGCTGAGCTTATATACCAGCATTTCTTGCCAAAGGCAACAAAACGTGAGTCAATATCACATGTGGTGGTGTAAAGCCATGGAGAAATCCTGCAGCTTGCTGAAAAACCAAGTTAGCCATTCAAACTCCAGCTTGTGAGCCTCTAGGTTGGTTTTACTGCTTCCTCACCTTGCTCTGTGAGGCCTTTCACTGCTCTTAGGATAGGAGGAATTCTCGTATTTTTTCTAAGTGTTGAACTTTGTATTGTGTGGTCCTTATTTTTACTGAAAATATAGCTGAGTTTAACAAATGTGCTGACTCAACTCTCTCAGTGTTCAAATTTGCCTTTGTGCGTTTCTTGTTCTTACTGTTTCCTGTGTGTGTGAATCTGAAAGTCCCTACTGCAAAGAGCCATTTGTTTTATTCTTTTTTTTATTCTTTATTCTTAAGCTCTTATCTAATAAAACCCACATAAATATGTAGTTTTAAGGCCTGATGCCTGCAGAACACCCTTTGTTTTGTGCTTATATCTCATGAAGCGTGTGTTATTTAAAAAGCTTGTGGCTCTCCCTTAAATGAAGTATGCATGCCATTGCTGCCATTAATAATGCTGTTCTTAATAATTATAGTCTCTCTATACATGTGGAACATGGATTGGTGACATTTAGAGTAAGTCCAAAGTAGTTGCATTTTCATATGGCCTTTATTTAAAAAGAATTCCATTTTCAGATGAATAGTACTGGAGCTGAGAGGTGCCAGTGGTGCCAGTTCTGTTGATATTTCAGCCCCTTTGAAAGGATTTCATAAGACTGCTGCTTTCCTGCCTGCTTCCCAAAAAGCCAGCACTTAAACCAGAATTATTCCAATTATCATCTACAGTAAATTGTGTATGTTAACAGAAGGAGCTTTTCAAAAGCAAGTCATATCTACAAGTACCAGTGCTCCATTATCGTGAGATAAAGGTGAAAAAATAAAGGTGACCAGCAGAGAAACTACTGAAACTCCAGGGTTTATTTCCTTTTTCAGCTGTCTTGTTTAGCAAACAGGCCTGCAAAAAGTTAAGGCTTAAAGGACTTGGCTATGAGCAAGACAAAATACTATCAAAATTCATTATTTAGGTCACCATTAAATGATTAGAGGAAAAACACCCATTTTTCTTTGTGCCAAGACTAGTTAAAGGTTTCCTGAACCCAGATTTTAATTAGTGCTGTAGAAGGAAGAATATTTGCATTTCCTGCTGCTGAATGTTGGTACTTGATAAGAGGGCTACCTTTGCCCAGAAAGCTCTTACAGGGAAATGAAAAGAAAGAAAAAAGAAAATCTGAGCGAACTTTGATGATAAAATCGAACCTTCCCTTACAAACAGTTTAAGAAACATGGGTAGAGTATTACAGAAAACCTGTGAAAACCTGACATGCTTAAAAAGCAGAGGCAACCTTTCCTAGTCAGGTTTTTATTTTAAATGTCACATACGGCAGTATTTTAATTCCCTTATTGGCTGGGACACAAGGAGAGAGAAATTATTGTCAAGAACTTAAGATGCCACTGAAGATGTAGCACAACATTGTTTCCTGATAAAGATGGCCAAATATGTGCAAAGAAAATAAAGGAATGATGCATGCCTGTAAGTAATTAGAATGAGCTGTTTTCCCTCATAACTAGGTATTGGATTTTCCTGAGGGGCAGGTGGGTATCTTATTTAGCACTGCTTTTAAAAGCTTTATGTGGTTTTGCATCTGTGACGCCACACATTTTGGCTTGTTTAAGTGCACAAGCACTTTCTTTTTGTTCCTGACCGCTGTGAGAATCCTGTAGCTACGTCACAGCAGGTCTGACACAACTCTCCTACCCAAAAATCTATAGAGAAAATGGTATATATGCAAGGACTGTAACATGCCCTGACAGAAGTCTGCCCTAGCCTTGTCCTTCAAGGCTGAAAACATGACATCTACCTAGCATATTTTATCTTCAGATTTTAAGATGAAGCTGTTGAGCATCACTATCCAGTCTTAAGCAGTCTAAATGTCAGATACACAAGTTCACTGCTCAGGTATGGCCATAATCACAAGACATGGCTGCTATTTCTCAGAGCACTCTTTAGAAAGAGCATTTCTAAAGCTGCTTTGCTACTTTTAAAATGTTTAGACAGTTAGTATTTTGAGTAGACAGTTAAGTGGGATGATTCCCATTCCATAATTAGGAGAGATGTCCCACTCTACATTTAGCTGCCCCGAGGATCAAGCCCAAAATGATAGCTTTTTGAACTATTTAGCCTGGTATGAATAAAATCCAAGTCAATATTTTAGCTGTTTTACTAGAGGCAAATGTCATTCCTGAAATATAACATATTAATTTTTCTACTGCAATGCAAAAATCCCACAGATATTTGCAACATTTTACAATGATAGAATATATATATATATATATAGGATGAAAAATTGTTTGTTTTCTCTTTTAATAGGAACTCATAACCACGCTGTACATTGGATTCTTGGGATTAATTTTTTCATCCTACTTTGTTTATCTTGCTGAGAAGGATGCAGTTGATGAGGATGGAAAGACAGGTTTCTCCAGCTATGCTGATGCCCTTTGGTGGGGTGTGGTAAGTCCTCACCAACAAAATGTGTGTGCAAACAGGGCTCAAGTTTTCTGTTCAAGTAGTGATCTTTTCAGAAAAACCTGGCTTTTCTTTCTTTGCAGAATGTATTTCTGTAGAGAAGCTTGACAACCTCTTTAGAGGGATACAAGCAAGTATATAAGAAATACAATTAAATTATTATTAAAATTATCGTTATTACTTTTTTTTTTGTGAAACAGGTTAGCAAGTTCTTAGAAAAGGACACTGAATACTTACAGTTATGAAAATTCCACATCTCAAAAAAAGTAAAAATCCCCTTCAAAAATTATATCACTTACTTTAAATTCTACTTAGTTATCTGCAAAAGATGCATAACTTAAAAACATATTCTATATGTGAAAGTCAGGTTAATGACCCTATTTTTTTTTTAATCTTTTTGTGTAAAACTCATTCTCTCAGTAATAATTCAGACCTTGATGCAGGTTATAGGTTTCTGTTTTTTGGCTTTTATATTTAACTTGGATGCTGCAAAAGTCTCTACTTCAATGAAGTACACATAATTATAGACTATATTACATGTAGCCCAAGTCACTACTCTGTAGTGGTTCACTCACTTGAACCACTTTTAAACATGAAATTTTAATATTTTAAACATGAAATTTCTGTCACTAGGTTGTCAAATATTCATTTCATCTGCAGAGTATCACCTATGACTGTGCTAAACAGTACAAACCCAGAAGAATCAAGTGAAAAAAGAAAAATCCACTCAATGGCCAGATGGACCTGATGATCTAAGGTGCTGGGAAGCAATGAAACCATGAACCAACCTATAGAGCTATCACTTGTTCAAGTCCTCAGTGGAAATGGGATAAAATTTTAAGAACATGAAACCTCCTGGTTATAGCTGTGAAGCAACCTGTAGCTAGTGGAAGAAAATAATGAGTATCTCAGAAGTAGAGATTGTGCTGCATTTTAAATTAAGAACAATCAGGGTATAATTGAAAAATACCCCATGCCAGCTTTACAAGAGCAAACCAGTACTCTTATTCTCACTTATTCTTCCATTATTTGAGTAATTCACCTCAAACACCAGTGGATCACTTTTAGCATCCAGTTCTATCCATGTATACTCACGCATAAGTAATTTCTGCATGTGATAAAAATTCCATGTGGACCCAGTGTACTCTTCCTACCTTTCCTTGTTTTTGTTTTTTTTTTTTTTTAGTGTTTTGTTTTTAGCTCTAGTTTTCCAGAGTTGCTTCATTAGTTGTATTGAATATTTAGATATTAATTACAAATCACTATAAGCTATTGCATTGATATGAGTAAAGAGTTCAAAAAATTAAGGCTAAAAAATTCAGAGTGTGTTTCTACAACAGTATTTTGGACTTTGGGAATTTAAAAGGAGTTATGAAGACCATCAGAAAAGCTTAAAATGCACAGTACCTTGTTGAAATAGATGACTTGGGATCTGTGTTTCAAAGTGTGTGGATCAGTGGGTTTTGTTATTTTCCAAAACTTGACTTGCTTTGTGTAGCAGCAAGATAAAATCAGCTCCTCTTTCTCTGGCTGTGTGAGAAACACTGTTCAAATTGTTGTTTAAGCTTTTCAGGCATCTAGGCCTCCTCAGCATATAGTGAATCACGGTGCAGGTGCAGTTCACAGCTGGGAACAGGAACAAAGGACAAAGTGAATCAGTTTCTTTTCCTTTCAAATCTCCTGGAACATAGAAACACAGATGTGGAGTTACTAGGGAGTGAAATTTGATTTTTACTTTTGCCTTTCAAAACTGAGCCATTGGGAAAAAAAAAAAATCTTGGTTCCAAGTATTTGAAAGTCTTATGTGTCTGACAAAAACCACAGAGTATATTATGGGGAACATTTTGCTTTGAGGAGAAAGTGCAAGCTTGCTGAACTTGATACAAATGACCTGAAAGGTTTCAATGCAAGGAAAATAGAAAACAAAGAATGAATGAGAGTTGGAATTAATTGCAAACTACATTCACCTGCTTCAGTTAAAGGCAAGCTTTTTTTCTCCTCGATTTGGCAGGCAAACAGGTTAAACTGCAAAGACATATCAAAGGCTTGTATTTCACATGAAGCCATGCTTGGAAGTTGTAGCATGTAGGGCATATGTAAAAGCACTTCCAAGAGCATGGGCAGTCTGCCAGAATTGCAACCTGTGTCACAGCAGTTGCCCTGTCCCTTTTGGGAATTTTTTAACTTGAGGAAAGAAGAGCACATAGGAGGCTTCTCTTCTGCTGGCCCTCCCTGCCTGCCTCTTGCTGCTGGTAATGCTTATTTGCCTTGCTGCAAACTCAGCTATTCCGTACCACTGGACCGGAGTTAAATACTTGCTCCAGTGGATTGGTGTTAATTGGCACAGGTACTTGGGATCAACTGCTCAGAATTTCCAGCAGTAAATTTCCATGCCAGAGGTAGTAGTTGGAATTCCTTTATATTTAGTGTGGCTTTTTGAGGTGTGCATTTCAGACTCCTCACACCTGAGGACACCTGCCTTTCTTTAAACATCTGAGCAACCCTGTTGACTTCTACTAAATCAGAGTTCTTCCCTTTTCGAGGCATACATGTGTGTGTTCAGAGCCTGTATTAGAGCCTGTGCACACAGCTGGAATGTGCCATTATAAATCCCTGTTACGAGAGGTGACATTTTCCAGAGTCAAGCTCTCCAGCATTCTCTGTTCAGAAATACTGATAACTTTGGGATGTATGAGTAGAAAAAAAAATTCTACTGTGATTAAGAAAGCCAGAGAATTACATTATTTATAATCCTTTCCATTCATTCAACATGCTAATTAGGTTACCAACAAGGAATCCTCTTAATGTAGCCAGGGAAAAACTTCCTGAGACATGTTCAGGCACCTGCAGGACTCTGCCAGCCAAGTGCCTGCTGCGGCAGTGGAAAATTCATCTTTTCTGTGCTTACAGCTTTCATGCTATCTTCCATAGTAAAATTAAGGCAGCTCAGCATTACTGCATTTTGGTTTTAAGTCCTGGGTGCTGGAGAACTTAGTGGAAACACCAAGAAAAACCACCCCAGAAAAACCAAGAAGCCTTTCATAAGAAAAAAGAGGGGACAAGAAGGGAAAAACCACTAACTTTGAACGGTCATCTGGGTACACTGAGGAGCTGAAGTGCTGTTAAAGAAACAGCTTTAACTTCCTTCACTGCCCAGAAACACATGCTGCATTTCAAAGTTGAATTTTTGGGGGTTTGATTTATTTTTGGGGACTGACAAACTCATTGTCCTGCTGGTAGCACACAGCACCTGAGTCACTTGACCAGCCACATTAAATCTAGACAAACACCTGGCAAGACAGAGCTCCTGCTGAGAGCAGTTTGTAGCTCAAAAGAGCAATATTCATTCAAGGATATAGCTACTACAAAGTGGTCTTCATCAAGTGGAAAATTCATGATGGATAAACACAAATATAACTATTTTTTGGAACTTGGAAAAACTAAGTTTGGTACTAGTTGCTGATTTTTTCCATTCAAATCTTTCTTCCAGCTCTGAGAGTAGGAGGAAACATATTCTTCCCATTCCTTTATTGCTTGATAGTTTCTTCTGAGAAGACTATTTTTGTATAACATCTAAGCATTTGTCAGCAAATTTTTCCATAAAAGGCAGCCTCTTTATAGTCAGTGTAAATTTACATATTCTTTTAAGTCTGTTTTGGCTGTGTTTCTGCTACCATTCAAGGCAGAGTGAAGGGAGGGGGACTAGGTTTGGGGCTGGTACATCCAAATAAAAGTACATTTTTTCTATTTACAGCGCTCCCCAGTGGTTAGTATTGATGACAGAGCTCTTCTGTTCCTCACCATAAGGTTTTCACTTCTGAGGGATACAAGCCATGTTTCTCACGCCATTTTATGGCAGCATCAGAGCTCTGAGGATGCTGAAAACCCAACACCTCCATGGCCCAGGGTCTGTGTTTTAGACCCTGGTCTGTGAGTCTTGTCCTGCTGTGACCATGGTGCTGAGGCCCCTGTCAGGTGTGATTCCTGTGGCTTGCTCTGGGTTCTTGCTTTGGGATCAGCTGATTATCCCCTTCCACTGGGCTCCTTGTTACATCACAAACCTTTCTGATGAGCCATTCTCCACCTGGACCCTATTTTCCCCCTGCACCAGGTCCTTCCTCACCTCTGACTCATGATGAATTCTCTTTCATCCTGCTGGGGCTCTTCAGGAATAGCCCCAAACCTCTATCCCACTCAGGCCCTCCTGCCTCTGGGGCTTTTCAGGGCTGGCCTGCCACCTCTGCAGCAAGTCCATGTAGAGCAAAGTCCCTACAGGTCCCAGACCTGAGGGCACTAATTGTCCTAATGACCCTGACCAGCATGACCCCACTGGTGGTGCTCCATGCACACCATTTCAGCAATATTTCTACATTTCAGCACAGGAATGTCTGTAGCTACAGAATTGTCTGTAGCTCAACTGCAGCTGTGTCTAGGTATGGGTTCCCTCAATCCTGATTTCCACCCACAGGATCATGCCCTGCTGTTGTCTCCTTCCTGTGGGCTCATGTGCTGACCACTTGACCCTAATCCTGACCTGTGGCTTGCTGTCAGACCTGCCTCGTTGTGCTTCTGCATTATAATCCGGACTCTGGGGTGGACCTGGTTGCGCTTTCTGCTTCTGTTTTGCTTGAAAGGTCCTGGGTCTGACTGAAGAGATGCTGCCCTGCTGCCTCTGTTGTCTCCTTTGGCTGTGGGCCCCTTCTCCCTGGACCTGATAAGCAATATCAGATCTAGGTTTAAGCACATCATGGCTTAAACAGAATTCTGAGTGGCCAGGTCCTGTGTTAGTGGGGGAGGAAGAAAGCTAAGCCCAGGCCTCAGCTCTGTTCAGGTCTAGCTCTAGTGGCAGGCTGACTTTGGGAGATAATACATCCTGGGATGGTTGTGTGTTCCTCCTCTTGCAGTCAGGATTCAGCTGGGATGGGTTAGTTCTGTCCTTTTCCACTCCTGTCAGCATGGGTTTCCGTATCCCCAAATCCACTACTTGATTCACACCTGTCTCCTGATACTTCACTAATTACTTTCCCTTTTCCATTCTTTTTTTCTCATGCTTTTGGAGAAAAAAAACCACTAAAACAGATGTTTGTTCCTGGTGCAGGTAACAGTCACAACAATTGGCTATGGAGACAAAGTTCCCCAGACGTGGATTGGGAAGACAATAGCTTCCTGCTTCTCAGTGTTTGCCATCTCCTTCTTTGCCCTGCCAGCTGTAAGTGGAACTTGAATCTCTTCATTAAAGCTGTGTCCACCTCTGTGAATGCCTCTGGGTCTTGTAACCTGTGGATCACATCAATGACCATGTGCTGTTTATTGAAGTTACACAATTCTGCTGTTGATCTACTCAATTTCAAATTTATTTGTTGGAATAAATAGAACTATGACAGTGTAGACATTTGAAAATTAATTTTATAAAATATTTTATTAAATGTCTGTTTATTCCAGGTGTGAAGTATTTTATTTAGGTATGTGAAGCAATATGCATGTCTGAATAGTAATTTTGTTAATTTGTTAGGGTATTCTGGGGTCTGGTTTTGCCCTGAAAGTACAGCAGAAGCAACGTCAGAAGCATTTCAATAGACAAATCCCAGCTGCAGCTTCCCTAATTCAGGTAAGGCCACAATGGTAAAATACTAAAATACCTCAGAGTTTATTGGAGAGGGAGTATGGCCTGGAAGTTCAGGTACTGGGAATCAGCATTCCTAAATTTATTATAGATCTATAACTTGTGTTTAGCCACTTTGCCATTTTGATTCACGTTAGTAAGCAGAGAAAATGAGATAATTGCCTCTCCCTTTCTGGAAGCTGCACTATACCTGATATTCACAGGCATAATGACACTAACTGGATGTAGTGACTGTATCTAATGAAATACTAAAAACATCATAAAAATCTTCATTATAATATTTAATTCACAACCTCCTATTTATATTCTTTTAGGTCCTGTGCATCTGCCAAATCCTGAGGTGATGAATGTACAAACACATGAAAAAACACACCTGGTTTTAGAAAAATCTCCCAGCATAACATTCCATATGATAATATAAAGAATTAAATAGCACAGTGCACAAACACTCACTGTGGCACAGTACAGAAAAAAGAAAACACAGCATTCAGTGGGGGATTCACTTTTATGGGCATTGAGTTTGATTTATTTGGGATTTTTATTTTTTTGCTGTGGATAGAGTTTGATCCCAGCTCATGAGGCGAGCACTCTGAATATCTCTGTGTGATGCGTGTGCGTGTCCTCGTGCAAATCCACCGTGGTTGTACTTTATCAGAAGAGGTTTTTACTTGGGGGCTTTGTTGTCAGTTGGATTTGCTGCAAAATTTGCCATGCAGGAGCCCAGTGGCTGCTCCTGAACTGAGATTTTTTGGGTGTCTTTCCAGACCCTGTGGCGCTGCTATGCAGCAGAGAAACCCTGCACCTCCACAGGCACCTGGAAGATCTATGTGACAGCTCTCGCACAAAATCCCAAAAAGCCTCCAGCGCCATCTAGTCCCCGTCTGAGAAAACAGGTGAGAGCACTACCAGGGCTGGCTCTCTGCTTGCTTTTCATTTTCAATTATAATTAACTTGCCAAAAGCCTCGTGAAGGGCCTGAGAAGTTTGGACACCTGAAATACATTTATTTTCCTCCTGCCACAGCCTAATTAGTTTTGTTTTCCTTAAAATATTCTTGAGGAAAGAATATCTTCTAACTGAGTTTGCCTTGTTGGTCAGACAGGTACCAACTCTCTGTTGTTCTATTCCCATTGGTGTCTCCTACTTTCTCAAAGCACAAGACGATGGTGCCACTTTCCCATTCCACATTAGTTTTTCAAAATAGTTAATAACAGAAGAAGGAGCAAGTCAGTTTAAAAATATGTGTTCAGGCTTAACATGTGGCTGACAGCAGCTACTCTTCTCTGAAGTACTCCATGCTGCTTTTATTTCTTTAGAAATTAGGGCAAATTCCTGGGCTGTGAGTGCAGGCAAACGGAACAGTGCTGTCTGCAAAGGTGGAATCGCCCACACCCAGCTCTGCCCAGCTCTGTGTTGTCATTGCCAAGCTGATCAGAAGGGCAGAGCCTGCAGCAGGTCCAGCTCAGGGACCCAGCATTTCCCAAAGGATGCTCAAGGCCTGCCGATAGGCAGCAGCACCCCACTGGAGCTGCTTCCCAGGGAAGAAGGGCTGTACAATTCCCTCTGGCACATGGAGGAAGCTGAAGCAGCCTGATCTGTGTGCATGTCTGCGTTTTGGTGTTAGTGTGACCTTGCTTTGTCACAGCTGGGGACAGGAAAAACAGGGGGAAAGGGGGAAAGCAGAAGTAGGACTCCTGTGTGTGTTGCTGAACAGCAAGCAATCCATGGTTGGAAAGATGGGAAAAATATATTTTCTCTCTGTTTTCTCTAGTGTTTTCTCTAATATATTATTTGTCTGAACCTCCCTGAGCCCTGCGAGCCCTCATTTAAGAGCACAGTAATGGTTCTTTCACTTCTTACCAAAGGATCCTCTTTTGTTCTTTCTTAGTCTATGACTTCCTATTTTAAAGTTTCAATATATACTGATCATTTTACGTATGTTGTAGCATTTTTTCCTCTAGAGGACTCCTATTTTCTTTTCCTGCTATAAGAGCCTGCGATCTTTGCTTTTAGAAGTATTTTGATGCATGTCAATGCATCCACTATCCACAACAAATACCTATTTCTACCATTTTCCTCCCATTTAATTTTGAATATGCATTTGTTTAACTGCTGCAGAGCTGAGCAGAAGGAATTCTAAAAATCTGAATGTAGACTGTAACAAAGTAAGAATTGGCTTAACTTTAGATCAAGTGACCTTGTCCCATATGTGAATATCTTTGCCCTGCAGCTCTTTCTGTTGAACCAAGCCTTCATTTTTCATTTTAAAGTACCAATTATAGTGTGTTTATTGGTCTGTCTTTAGGCTTCTAAAATCAGGAAAACTGTTTGGAGGCAGGAGGAAGGGTTTCTCTTCTCCCGATGTGCCTAATTTAGCTTTTTTGGCAAAAGGTGAAGTTTTCTTTAGTTAAATATGCTGCACATGGCCTATTTCATAGTTCAAAATCTATGGTTATGTTGAATTTAAGCTTTAGAAAGATATTCCAGACAAGGTGATATATGCTGAATTCATTAGAATTTTGTATGCCTTGAGTTTTGGTCCCAATATGCGAAATTTTACTAACGGCCTGATTTTTCAGAATGTTCTAGTTACCTTCTGAGAATCAAATTCTTACCAGGGTTTAGTTCATAATTCAGAATCAGAAACTTTAAAACCATAAAGAAAGGTTGTAGCCCTTTCACTGAATTTCAGTTTCATTCTTTAAATAAAAAACATACAACCTCAAGTGAATTCACTGTACAGTGAAGCTCACACGTGCACTTGTCTGTGTTTGATAGCATCTTCTGAGATCATTCCATTCCTACTCTCACAGGCCAGAAGATACAGAAGAAAAGGGAAGCTGGGCAGTGGAAATGGCTCTGCACCTGTAATAAACCCAGAAGCAAATTCCTTGTCTGTTCCCCAGATCACTTATGATCACATTGATGAACAGGAGGACAGAAAAGATGTGTCCTTCTACATTGATGAACCCAAAGGTAACTTACTTATGCTCAGTTTATCATTTTTCAATAGACAAACTTACAAAGAGTTGACGTGACGAAGGGAAAAGTTCTATGAAAAAACAATTCTAAGCTAATCAGTAAATCAAGATGCTTCCAACCAAGGATGGTTGCATAACAAAAATAGGGAGACGTGAATGAAAGGAAGTCTTTAATTCCTCTGGTGTGAATATCAAAAGAGCTTTCTTTGTTCACCACCGATTAAGATGTTGGATATATTGTCCATTCTTCTTTTTTGAATCATGTCAGATTTGAATGGAAAGCTCAGGTCTACCCCACCTTTTAACTTTACCTCCTTTTACCTCTGAAGGAAGGAAAGACAAACTAGGAAAAATATTTCTACTTATTTCTACTTAGTACCCTCTTAAACATTGTGCAAACAAATTGCAATAAGAAAAACCAACTATTTTCATGCCCACATCAACTAAGAGGTTTTGATAAGTGGGGTTTTTTTCTCTTGCTTCATTTAAAATATAGTGTGTTTATATAAGTGATGGTTGTATTTCAACATGGAAACTGTCTGAATTTTACTGCTGAGTTAACATACTTGCTTTTTCTGTAAAATCCTTTCTTTAACATTAAGTTTGTAATGGAAATATGAATGTTACAATGTGAAATATAAAATGGTATTATTTACTATAAAAGAAGGTTTTCTGGAAAGCTGATTTTTTTCCCTTTTGCATTGATTTTCTTTGTCTGATGAGGCTGGGACTCTCTTCTGGATCTGCTACATCTTGAACTCCTAATCTTATTCTGAGAGACAGCCATACATATTATTCCCTTACCAATTAAATTTTATCTGTTTTTTATTTTCTTTCACGTTTTACCTTAGCCAGTGGCAGGGTTAAGTCACACTCAATTTGATTTTCTTTATTCATTCCTTCTGTTGCAAAGCTTCCAGGAATGTAGCTGGAGAACTCAATTTCTCAGTTGACGGAACATTCTTGACACCTCTCGAAAGTTTAAACCTGATTTCTCTCAGTGAAGTTCTTCTTGCCAGAATTAATAGGCTTCTATTCCTGCGGAGTGGAAGTACTAGGCTTCAAGCCTGTAAATGGGGACATTTTTTTCCCTGTCAAAAAAGCTGGAAATAGAAAAGGCAGAGAGGATCATCATCCAAAGGAGGTAATTGAAAGGGGCCGTGACAGCTTCTATTTGATTGTTGCTGTAGTGGAATATTTAATTAATTGCTGGTGTGGGCTGGCTGTTTTGCAGATGATGGCAAACTGCAAGGTTGAATCAGATCACTTTTCTAGGCCTGACCTAGAGGAGCACAGCTGCTGCTCTAAACCAGCTTTTTGCTGCTCTGGTCAGGTGTGAGAGAGGGACTGTAGGAAGACCTGAAATAAATGCCAGTCAAGAACAGGCAACACAGTAACAGTCACAGTGATAAAATTCCTTGTTTTGAGCTGACATAGATAGAAATGTAGTTCAAGTATCCTTGAAAAACAAGACATTTGCCTTAATTTAGCAATGACATTATGTGAACACACCTTTTCTTCTGGAAATAGAATTTTTCTAATGACATCTTGTTCATGTATCCACAGCCGCACATCTTACTCTTGGCCTGCTCAAACCTTGCTTAGGAGGCAGATCTTCCCAAGCTGGGCAAAAATGCTTTCCTTTATTTCTGTGAAGAAGGTTGGAGAACAGGGAAACCTTGGAAAACAGAGATGATCAACATTAAGGTTTCTCAGAGGTTTCTGTGTCTGTGGAATAAAAACCTCCATGTATTGGATAGTGCATAATATAGAAACAAGACCTTTAATATAGAAACAAGAACTTTACCAAATGGTAGTGTTCTGAAACAAAAACTTGATCGCTTAAAAGAAAAATTACTCCTGACCTCTGCACTGTGCTTGGGGCTCTGGGTGTGACTGATGAAAAGTGATCCGTAGCACTCAGAATTTGTCCATCCTTACAGAAAGGGAAAGGCCAAAAGTCTTCCACAAGAATAGTTTCCTTGTTCGAAGTCAAACCTCTTGAAATGAAGCTATTTAGAAAGAAATTAATAATGAAAAACTAAAATAAACATAGAGATTCAGGAAGTTCTAGAAAATAACTGTGGTGCCAAGTCATAGAATGACATTGCATACAATGGGTTGGGTTGGAAGGGACCTTAAGGATCAAAGAATCCTGGAATTATTTGGGTTGGAAGGAATCTTGAAGATCATCCAGTTCCAACCCCTACAATGGGCAGGGCCACCTTCCACTATCCCAGTTTGCTCAGAGCCCCATCCAGCCTGGCCTTGGACACTGCCAGGGACGGGGCAGCCACAGCTTTGGGCACCCTGTGCCAGGGCCTCAGCACCCTCACAGGGAAGAATGTCTTCCTAATATTTAATCTAGATACCTCCTCTTTTAGTTTCAAACCATTCCCCTTGTCTTATCACTGTTTGCCCATGTAAAAAGTCCCTCTGCAATGTTTTTGCAAAGGCCATTTAGGTGCTGGAAAGCTGGAATGAGATCTCCCCAGAGCCTTCTCTTCTCCAGGCTGAACAGCCCCATCTCTCTCAGCCTGTCTGCACAGGAGAGGTCCTCCAGACCTTGGAACATCTTTGTGGCCCTCCAGTGCAGTATTTTTTCATGGGTGTCTTTGCTTCAACTAAGGAACTATTTCATACCAGTGTGTATGGTTTAATATTTTCATGTAGTGATTTAAAACACTCAGTCATGTCATCCTTACCTGTGATTATATCCATAAGTATTCTATATATTCCTGAAATTATTCTTTACTTGTACTTTTGCCTATCCTTGCAGGGTCTGTTATCAGGATGACAAGATATGTGCAAGCCCTCCGACATCTTTAATTTTCCTGTAAAGTTTAAAGAAAGTACTCAAGTATGAAGATCATAGTTAATTAGAAAAGCAAGAGTGAGTGGCAGGTCACAGAGACTGACGCTTCCAGAGAAAGGAAACAGCATTTTGGTGTAACTGGAATTTTCTAGATGCATTTTGAGTTTTCTCTTTAAATATCAGCTATTCACCACAATGCATCCTTCACAAAATGAACCAAATAGCCGTTTCATTGTTCTTTTTATTAGGGAGTTAAAAAAAATAGAAAATTGAAAGTTTTTAGTCCTTGAAGGTCAGTCTCCTGGGACAGCTCCAGCAGATGGAATGTATTATTCTTTGTCAGCTGTTGTAGGTTGTATACACAACTCATTATTGTTAGATTTGTCAAAGTCACAAGACTCTCATAGTGCTAAATCTCTGCTGGGCTAAAAATAAAATTCCCTGTTTATCACAGTGCTTTTCTGTTTGATTTTTGGAGTTTCTTGTATGCTGATGTATGCACAGTTTAAAGCAAAACTGCACAAAAGCAAATTTTTACCAAGAGAGCGGAGAGCACTGCGGTTTTCTCTGACCCCCTTACCTTTGTCATCCATCTCACTTAAAATATGGAGTAGTGTTAATGTTGATTTATTCTGTCTGTAATGCCAGTTTGGACGCTGATATGCCAGCATTCACATGTCTGGAAATGAGCTGGTTTTTCCCAGAGACTGGTTCCATTTCCCATTGGGAAAAGGGGCTGCTTTCCCTTAATAGTGTAGATGGATTACAGTCTGCAGTATATATAAAGAAGCAAATATTTTAAGTGAAGTGAATTCAGAGATTCCAGTGCTGACAAGCTGAAAGAAAGGTGAGAAAAAACACGTGGCCAAAATTAACATCATAAAGCAAACAGCAAAGCTTTTGAGCGTCTCCATAACTGTCAGTAAGTCTGAAAATCATAAATACAAAGGTATGCACCAAATCAGCATGAGAAAGTATCCAGATACCAGGCTTCTGACAAATGTCATGCTCTTAAGAAGGTGCCATTAGCAGATGGTGGTGGCTTTGCAGTGAGAATTTGTGGCCAGTGCAGAGCTGTTCAACATCTGCATTTGTCTGTCAGTTCAGGACTTGTATTGATGGTACTTGCCCAAGTGTAAGAATTTTGGAAACACCGCACTACCAGAAAGTTTTCAGTCTTTGCTGGTTCAGCCCTGGCTTCCCTGAGTGAGAACTTCCAGTGAATTCTGTGGTTTATCTCTTCTGGCCAAAGTTGATGACAGGACTGGGGATGGGGATGGGGTGAGGGAAGGTACAGGAAGACAACAACTAACTCTGCCAAACCCACTCTTACTTCTGATTAAATCTGGCCTGTTTTGAGGTTTAAAAATTTATTTTTGTTCTACATTTATTCAACTCTCTGTTGTGCCTGATTTAAGACCAGGGTTTGGATCACTGGTCCATCAGACTTGAGCAGGGACTTTGTACCAGATGTTCCCAGAGACCATGGCAGTGCAGAGAAAGGGAAGGTGTTTGTAGGTCCCTCAGGCTTTTTCTAGACACTATCAGTACGGCAGTGGGGGAAAAATAATCATAATTATGAGTTGAAAAGGAGGGCATACCCAGCATAGATGTTTTGTTGCCAAAATGAGTATTTCTGATAACTGTTAAAGCATCAAAAATGTAGCAAATTAGAGAAGCAAATAAATTGTATTTGAGTCAACATATTGATTAATAATGACATAGCATTTTAAAGTGAGATTGTAAATTGACCTGATAAATTGTGACATTTTTGGTAAGCTCTTTCACAGTACTGTTGCAGCTCTGATAATTTTTAACTCTGAGATCCAGAATATACATAGTCCTGCTGTGTGAGGGTTAGGTCAAGAGAAGGAAGTCCAACACCCTGTCATAGAAATCTACTCTTGATGACAAAGTCAGTAATCGGGTTTTTCTTTTGATACATTTGAGGAATCAGCAGAATCTTCTCACTAAATGCAGGCCCTTGTGGGGTTTTCAATAGAAGGATCTATTGACTTTGGGAAAAAAGAGAGAAATGAAATAAGGGTTTTCAAGAATGGAAGTCAGAGTTAATAGATAAGGTATGGTAGAAAGTAGGTTAAGAAGTATTATGCTAATAATAAGGTGTTCTGTATCAAAAAGGATAAGCACACATTATAAAAGTAAGAACTAGAATTTAGTGCTAGAATAACTGAAATCTTCATCAAATTAGTGTCCAGATTTAATTGTTACAAAAGAGACT